GTCCCCTGTGGCCCTGGCATAGGCCTGCTGCAGCGCCTTTATTTTCATGTGCACCTGCTCCTGCTTGCGTGTGTGGCCTTTGGTGGCCAGGCTGTCAGCCATCCATCAGTAGACGGCTGCGTTTCTGTGTCTAGTGCAGAGATCATGGACGTCGGAGGATTCCCCCCAAACCTCAATAGGTCCATGATCTCTGCACTGGACCAGGAAGGTGCCCGCCTTTTGTGGCCCCTGGCAGGTTCCTTGGAACTGCCAGACTGCTCCTGAGGAGCAGTGGAGGGCTGGTTGGCACTGGCTGGCTTGCTTATGCTCGCAACTGGGTCAGGGGCAGCGCCTGAGGGCTCTGGGCTGTCAGACCTAGAGCTGACACAGGCCCTATGGCCAAACAGAGTCTACCCCTTTAAGGGCTCCGGGGCTTTGGGGGGGGAGGGAGCAAGAGGAGAGGAGTTTTCCTGGTGTGGCCCAGAGTGGCCACCAGGGCACCCTTGGAAGGGCTGGAGGCCCCCTATTTCAAAATAAGCGTCTACACAACGCTTATTTCAAAATAGCTATTTCGAATTTGGCGTTTTTCCTCATGGAATGAGGTTTACCAAATTCAAAATAAGCGTTCCGCTATTTTGAGTTAATTTCAAAATAGTGGTTTGGCGGTGTAGGTGCTAGGAAAGTTATTTCGAAATAACGGCTGTTTGTAAAAAACCCAGGTCCTGCACAGAACCTTGAGACACCCCATTGTTAACAATTTATGGAAAATGTGTATCCTTACATTTTGTTTTCTGTGTGTTAGCCAATTTTATAATCAATGATCACGCTGTCTGTGTATCTAATGTCTATATTTGTTAAACACAGAAAACTACATTATAAAAATGTTAAAGTTGCAAAAGTCACGCTCTCATATGTTTTGGTATGCCAGAAATAAAGTTGCCTGTGTGACCTTATTCAGCCCCATCATGTGTATGCATGAGGATACAGTTCTTTAATTATGTGATCACACACACTTTCCCATAAGACTCCCTTCTTCCTTCAGTACTGGATGGATAATGCTCACGTAGTCCTGGTCTACACTAGGGAGTTATTTCAAAATAACATGCAGAGCATCTACAATACCAAGCCTGTTATTTTGAAATAATAACTTCTGCTTTCCATGAGGAATAACACTTATTTTGAAATAGTTATTTCGAAATAGCAGTAGTGTGGTTGCTACACTGTTGCTATTTTGAAATAATTACTGAGAATCCTTCAAAGCAATTACTCCCCAATGCTTCCTGGGGCTATAAGTTAAGCAGGCTCCCTTAGTATTTCTGACATCAGGGCAATTCCCATGCCAAATTTCAGTTACTCCAAAGCTTCTAATTGAAACAAGAGTAAGTATTTTTAACATAGGCAAAACATTGTATTAAAAAAAAAAAGGTCCAACCTGAGGCAGAAACCCGGGCATGGGAAATTTCAGAGCAAACAGAGCACTTTGTAGTTTCATTCCAGGACTGCTTAGTTTCCTTAACAGCCTCTTGTTTGTATTTTTATCAAAGACTTTTTGAACACTCTAATAACTTAAAGCAACCAGTTTTCTTTGAATCATTTTTAAACGAGCACATTCAAAGAATCTTGGTCTTGAGAGGCATGCTTTTCTTTTACACAACCTCTCTTTCATGAAATTCTATTTTAATTATTGTTTCAATGAGTTTACAAAAAAATTACAAAAGCACAGGTACTGGCTTCCTTCCAGACCCTGCCTCCACCTGACCCCTTCTTCCAAACCCCCTTCCACCTCTTCTCACCCCACACAGTGCCCTAGGCTCTGCAGCCCCTCTTTTTCTCAAGCCTCCGCCCTGCCTCTTCCTGTCCAATTCTGCACTCTCACCTGAGTGTTACCTGTCCTTGCTCCTCCTCCTTCCTCCTAATGCCTCTTGCAGGCTGTTGAACAGCAGGAGGGAAGCTGGCTGCTGGTGGATGCTAAGCACTCACTAATTTTTTTTCTGTGGGGCTCTAAGGCTGGATCACCCATGGAATTGCACCTATGTACAAAAGAAAGGCTTACTAGACTGTAAGTCCCAGGAGCATACCAGTGCCTTTTAAAAAGCTGTGTACCAAATGTATTACCTTCCAATCTTCTTCAATAATCATGACACATGAGTGTATATTTTTGTTAAAAATACAGCCATTTCATTTCAAATCCCTTCAGATGTAGTGGCAGTATACCTGCCAGGCCCAGTGACTTGTTGGTTTTTAGTTTATCAGTTTGTTTTAACATTTTTTCTTTGGACACCGCCTTATTATTTGTACCTTATTATTTTTATATCGTTGGCTATTTCCTCTTTAGATGTTCCCCTTCCTAATTTACATCTTCTATTTCACTTACCATGAACTATGCCACTTTCTAATGTTTTGGGTTGGATTGGATTTCCATTTTCTGAAGATATTTGGCTTGAATTCCCAATTGAATTGTACCATTTAACCATAATGAATTTTGTTTTGCCTCCATCCTTTTTTCCTTATTTGTTTTGTTTAGGGAGATATCAGTGGCTCTATCGCAAAGAGCTTAAGTAGCCTCCGTCCTGAGTTTTAGAATTTTAATTTCTTCTCTTTTGACTTTAAATGACCTGTTTTACTAACTGTTGCTCCTTCCTTTTTAATTCAGATTGATAAAGGTTAGAGCTGTGTTTCCTCTCTTGACTTTAATAAAGCAATTCTGGTATTTTTTGGGGCATATTCCCTGCCCTGAGGAAGTTGAATTGAATTACAATGTGATTGCTGTTAGTGGGCTAACTATAGTTAGTTCCTAAACTTCTTGAATTGTCTTTGGTCTGTTTCTTTTGTTAGGTGATGCTATACAAACATCACACAGAAGCTCAAACGCAAGAACAGTGAAACATGAAAAATTGGTTGTCATCTAATTTTCCTGAATACGTGCCGTCATGGGAAGATGAACCTTTGCCTAAATTGGATTTTTGCAGAATGGTCTATTTAGTGCAAATCATGTTATCAGACATTCTTGACAGAAAAAGTCATTAAGCTCAATACAGAGCATCTAAACTCTTTATATATAATTAGCCTGGATGTGCTGAGTGGCTATTTCTCTTTATTTATAAACAATCCTTTTACTTCCTTTTCGGTCTCTGGAGGTGTTTTTAATCTGTTGGCAGATTAAATAGTGTAGTAGTTTCACAATATCACTTCTGAAACATGCTTACAACAATTGTACTAAAATAATGGTAAGCATTTCTCTCCAGTTAAGAATGCCAAAGAAGGTAAATATACACCTTTTTGCTCACTGTGTTCTGTGCTCCACAGGTAAAATTCAGACCTCAGTGACTGGACTTTGTAGGGGGAATTAAGTGAGCCTTGGAATTTGCTTGATTGCCCTCAGGAAAGCAGCCCTAATGCAGACTCTGCTGCAACCTGTGGGCTGTGATCATGTTTGTTGCACAGATATACAATAAATGGCAAGTGTTAGGTCACTGCTTGTCTCAGATCTACTTGCCTCTCCCTTGATCTGTCTGCAATACCATGCAACCTACTTAGAGCTAACACAGTACTTCACTCTCCTCCCACCTCAGCTTCCAGAAGTGTAAGAGTTACTTTTGCAGTACACAGGACCTAGAGCAAGCAAGCCCTCCTGGATATGTGCTGCACAGTGCATAGGAACAGCCTGGTGGTACACCTAGCTTTTGATTTCCATGGTTTTGGTGGTTTGAGTAAAAATCTTAGCAGAATGGTAGTATTCTTGTGAATATTCAATGTACGATACAGAGAGCATAGAAAAAAAAAGCAAAGTGGGTAGAGAGGTATCCCAGAAAAGCTCTGCTGCGTCTAAGGAACGCGTCCGCTTTTCTGAAAAAAAGTTGGAAAAGTAGACGTGTTTTGTCAGCCTCCCCATAAATCTCATTTCATGAGGAAGAAGAGGTGTTCCAAAAGAGGGCTTTTTTTCCAACATTTGGCCCCGTGTAGCACTTTTTGCGGAAAAGCATCCGTGCCAATCTAGACGCGTTTTTGCGCAAAAAAGTTCTGATCGCCATTTTTGCGATCGGGGCTTTTTTGCGCAAAACAAATCTGAGCTGTCTACACTGGCCCTTTTGCACAAAAGCTTTGCGCAAAAGGACTTTTGCCAGAACGGGAGCAGCATAGTATTTCCACAAGAAGCACTGATTTCAGACAGTAGGAAGTCAGTTTTCTTGCGGAAATTCAAGTGGCCAGTGTAGACAGCTGGCAAGTTTTTCCGCAAAAGCACCTGATTTTGCGGAAATGCTTGCCAGTCTAGACACAGCCAATTTGTGTATCATTTTCTGACTTTTCTTTGTAGTATAGACATAACCAATGACTCTTGCAATGTGTTTGTAGTGTCTTATTGCTATGATATCAATACAAGAGTATTTCTATGAAAGAAAAATCCTTCCATTGACATTGTATCAGGTTTGTGACCACATACACCTAATCAGAGGTCTAGATGGAAACAGTTCTGTGTCTGTGAACATCATCTCAGACATTTTGCTGACAATATTAACTATCTCTGGTAATTCTGGACCATGGCAATTTCTATGGAATTCTTAAAATACACATCACTGCCTGAATGCTGATTATGTATGGGCATATCACTAGAAGATTGGCACCAAAGATGCATTATCTTTGGGCTGCTGATTGACTTAGACAATCATATGGGAAGCGATGGGAGTTATATGGATTTCTGTGTTTCAATCCGGCCTATTGCCTTTATGGATGTCCCATTGGAGGTAGCACAATGCTTCACTCCTCTGCCACTGTACCTTCCAGAAAGGTAAAGAGTTACTTTTGTTTTATTATCTCACATACATACTACCATACACATTAACACACTCTCTCTTTCCACAAAAAAAGATTAGCTGGAAATTTCATCCATTGAAGCTCTCCCTAGCTTGGAGTGACCTTATTTTGATTTTGGTAGTTTGGTTTATTGAAGGAAAATGAGCCCACACCGGGTGCTATTTACTGCTGAGAATTTTAATTTGTTGTATTTAATTGTGTCATAACAGTTGCCAGGATGCCCTCCAACCAAGATGCTGCCACGTACCTAAGTGGCTCCCTGAGGGTGAATTTGGCAGAGATGGGGGAGACTTTGCTTTACTCTGGACTGATGCCTACAATGCTGTGAGATGTCTGGAGAAATGAATAGGCTGCTGCTGGATGTGGTGTGAGGAATACCAGGAGCTGGGAGTCCTAGTGCCACAAGTGAAGAACAGAGTGCACCATCATCACTCCGACAATCAGAACCAAACTGGAGAGGACCCTGAAGGATGCCATCCACTGCTACTATATCAAAAACCCAAAATGGAAGCTTAACCAGGGAGAGACCTTTGAGCTGATACAAGTAACCACTTCCTCCCCCAGGATAACGTCACCCAATTTGCAGCCTGGAGATTCATCCAATGGGCCTGACTCAACTGCAGTCCACTGAATGGAGCCATCTGCCACAAGAATTGGAATAAGTGACAAAGGAAGTGCCATTATGCCAATGAGCCATTACCCCCCATTTTATGTAACTGCAAGCTCCACTCCGGAGCCTGGTAGCTGAGACACCTTGCCATCCAGGACTGCCTGGTCAGAGCCATCCTACCACCCATGGGAAAGGTTGCCATGAACTTTTCCATCCCCAGAATGGCAGCCAACTGTGATCAAACATTGTCATCGCTAATGAGGACTGAAAGATCATCGTGGTGGATATCACAGTTCCTTTCAAGAACAGGACTTCCATGATGCCCAAGCCTGAAAGCTAAAGAAATATGATCTTCTGGCTGACATCTTGAAAGCTAAGGGCTACAAGATGCAAATTCACACACTGATTGATGGAGTCAGCCAATGCTGTTCTTGTCTGATCTGACAACTCATGGATCAGACTCACTGAATGCCATCAGGTGGCTGAGAGACATCTATCTGGAACACATCACCAGACATTGGCAATACCAGGAGGGATGATTTGGAGTGATGAAGAGAAGTGCAGTTTGGATAGTAACTCAAATATTTTCCGGATTGACTGTATTTTCTAACAGACAACCTAATCTAAATTCTGACTTACTGAAGGACAATCTCTACTTAACAATGTATTTGCTTCTCACAACCAACTCTCCATTAATCTTTCTGTGAGTGATATAGCCGAATATTTGATTCAAAGATCATATCTGTATTGTGATAATTACACATCTAAATTTGGGTTATTGTTGATTGTGTAATTATACATACCATATGACTTTTTAAGGAAAAAAAACTATTTGTAGATAATCCAAGCGTGACAACCTGATGTATAGAATCACCTTTTATTTAACCTGTGCACTATGTAAATTTTTAACATTAGCTTTAAATTTTTTTTTAACCAAACATAATTGTTTGGAGTCTTTATTTGAGATTATCAGGGTGACCAGGTAAATATTTACAGTGGTGACATTACAGTTGCTCTGATATAAGATGTGCGTAATATTTGATCAGAATATATTTTCTTGGTTGAAAACACAAACTAATATATTATGAGAAGTAGTTGCTAAGAGTCCCCAATTCATTCTGGGAACACAAGGTTTGATCTAGTCACATCCTTTTCAAACCACATCAGTGGGAGTTATTGGATGAGAAACGATAATCTGTGGCAATCTGTGTGAAACATCCTTTGAAACTTGCTGACATTTGGTGGCTCTTCAGAACTTTACTTAGTTTGAGGAATGAAGCTTTGAAGTGGAAAAAAATGTTTTACAAGAGGGCTAATTCATGTGTTTATGAAAAATACATTCAATATAGATATGTCCTATTTTTATGTGATGAAGAAAGTCTGAAGTTGATGAAAACTTGCAAAGGTGGGTAAAGTTATAGCATTTGCATGTAAATACTTCTGTTGTGCATACAAACCTTGTGTTTGTACCCACAAATTATGCAATTGCTTGTATAAATACCTATTTCCATGCACAAAAAAATGATACTATCAGCACAAGAGATCCCTTTTTTTCTTGTATATATGGGCCATATTCACAGCTCACTTGGAAAATATACAGTGTCTATAAGATTAACAGGAAGGTAGTAAAATATGATTAGCGAGCCTTTGAAAACATTACATCCAGAGTTTGTCTCAAGAATCAAGGGAAATGTAGGCATTCAAAGTTGCAAATGATGCCCAGGTTTTAAATATCCCGGGCTTTATTTGCATCTTCCCGTCCGGTCACCATTTTTAAATTCCACTAGTCCGAAGTAACTGCCTGCGGCTACACGTGGCAGTGAAACGGCAATTCAAACTAAGTCCTTAGTTCGAATTAACTGTTACACCTCATTCCATTGGATATACAAGAAAAAAAGGGATCTCCTGTGCTGATAGTATCATTTTTTTGTGCATGGAAATAGGTATTTATACAAACAATTAACAATTTGTGGGTACAAAGACAAGGTTTGTATGCACAAACCTTCCATTGGAGCTGTAACAGTTAATTTGAACTGAGGACTTAGTTCGAATTGCCGTTTCACTGCCGTGTGTAGCCGCGGGCAGTTACTTTGGACTAGTGAAATTTAAAAATGGCGACCGGATGGGAAGATGCAAATAAAGCATCTTAAATATCCGTGGGATATTTAAATCCCGGGCTTCATTTGCAACTTTAAATGCCTACATTAGCCTCCCTAATTCGAACTAGGGGGCTAGTGTAGACATATCCTATAAAACATTTTTGCAATTTCAAAACTTTTTACAAACTTTTTTAGTTGAAAAATGTGTCTAACTTGATCTATTCTGATAAAAGCTTCAGGTTTGATTAATCAGCATTTTCTGATGTGGGGAGGGACAATTAATTGAACAAATCCTAATCAGCTCTAACAAGAATCCAGGAGGATCCAGTGGTGTTTAGACACATCAGAATCTACTAATAAGGTATATCTATCCAAAAAGTGAATGTATCTATTCAGGCATCTAGAGTAAAGCCACAAATATGCAGTGATCACATTGACTGGATTGTACATCTAAAAGGACAGTTTTACTGTAAATATATATTAGTTGAGTTTTGATATCTGGTTTATGAAGTGCTATAACTTATTACATGTTTTAATAGTTCTGATTCCCAGAACTCCTTTACTTTCTCATCTATTCTATGTGGGTTTCTTGTTTTTCTGGACAGTGCCGGATTAAGGTATAAGATAACTAAGCTACAGCATAAGGCCTCACAATAGGGGAGCCTCTGATTAAAAAAAAACCTGACCCCATTTCAAATGTTATCAACATTAGTTTATAAATCAAGGGGATGTAGGTAAAAAGTAGATTTTTTCTAAATATAGACATTTTCATTTAAATATGATAAACATGTACACATCTGGCTACACAAATACCCTTACCCTATCCTTGCCCTTCACTAATTGTTCATTATTGACAGGCAGGAGGCCAGAGCTGAGAAAACACAGGATAATTACTCTTGTAAAATTGGTATTTCTATGAGTCACTCTGCTGTCAGTCTCCTAAGGCGGTGTTTAGTTGGCCAACTGCTACTGGTAAAATTCTGACTGTGCTTTCATAGCTAATTTAAATAAATAAAGAATCTCACTGCTGATAAAATTGGGAAAAATGTGAGGTTGGAGACAGGAGGTGTGGTGAAGCAATCCTGCTGAGCTCATACATTGACGGGGTTTGTCTGAGAAGTATCTTCAAGTATAGCATTCCCCTTGGCTGGGAATAGCTGGAAGGCTGCCATCTTTTGTTTACAGTCCAACATACTCAGTTGCCTGGTTCCTTCGCACCTGTTTTCCTTTGTTTTCTGAAGTATTAGTGTGTTCTTATTTTCTTTTGATCTGTACATATATACTGTTGTGTATTTTAGTGTGCATACCGCTTTCTGTTTTAAGTGCTATCTATCCATATGTCACATGACTGAGTTTGCAGTTGGTCATCTTATGGACTTGAGTTGATTGGATTGTGAGGAGGATAAATTTGTGCTGGCTTTACTCCGTCAGTTTTGGGAACCTACTATGTATTTTTATAGTATGGCAAAAGAAAAATACCAACAATTCATTGTTTTGTAGCAAAAAATGAATTGGAATAAGCATTTGTAAAAATATTTTAGATATAGTCTGGATTAACTTTGTATTTCCCTAACAAAATTAATCAAACGTTTTTTATTTATTCATATCAAAAGAAGGAAAATTTTCATTATTCGTGTGATAATAATTATGTATCCTCTCTTAATTTCCTGTGAGAACATAATTTTTTTGTTTGTATCAGTGTTCTTTCTATGAGAATAATACATTCTTTATCTTTATGGCATGGGGCCGCTTACACTTTAGCTCAGAATGTCATAAATACAGACCTGTTTCTAGACTTCGGTTGGAGTTCACTCATTCTAATCTCCATTTGAGTAACCTCATT